CAATATTGGGGGGAACCTGTCTATAATCATCATAGAAATCAAGAAATGAGATATCAAGACATGCTAGCTTAATTAAATGTTTTGAAACCAGTGGTGCGGGATTATTTTTCTATCTTCGTACCGCGCTTGTACGTAACGGAATATTGCTAGTTGAGGTTTCTTGTAAAATCAACGCCCAAGCGGTCGAAGTAATTGGTGGCCACGCTAACGTCAGCCGCCACAAACTGAAATGAGGATACTATCCCAAACATTTGACAAGCGCGCGTGATTCAAACTAGACCAAGTCCATTGCCTTGATTCTACTCCTTAATTTCTGTTCATTATAGGGAAGGCCAAGGTGGGGGAATGGCCATTAATATATTGGTTCCTATTTTATATATGGAATTTATTTCTAATAAAGGGACATGCTTGGTCGTGTCATTCAGTTCGAAAAGTCTAGTATATGTAGTTCCAAGAGCAATTTTATACTAATCTACAATTCAATCACGCACAGTCATCCTAAGTATACCCTACTGTTTTTTATTTCCAAGGAAAGAATGTCCATGTTCCCATCCTTGCGTCTTTGATTCTACTACGTACGGCTTGAGTTTTCCAAATTTCTCCATACTTTGCACGTGGATGTCTCAATAAACTGCATGCAAACAACTAGTTTTTTAAATGTACAGTTTATGATTATTATATACTATAACATGTATTTTATATTAACAATTTGAGGCATCCGGTACTTGCAAATCGATCGGTGGGATGCAGGATCGATTCCAACCAGGTTATCCAACCCTTACACTTACAGTAATGTTAACACCATTGCATGAATGAGCCTGCTTAATTGGAAAATATGTAACTTAATCGTATTTCATAATTTATTGCTCCTCAGGCAAGTTTTTGAGGGTATTTTTTTGACATTGGTCCCTTGACTCTTTCATATTTTTAAAAATAGTCCCTCGAATCACCAAAATTATAATTAGCTCCTCCCAAATCTTACATTGTTTAATAATTAGTCACAATTAATCCCTCCAATTGCTACTTCTATTCTTGATTGAAGGGAGAAGTGAGGAACCTAATGTTGGAATTAGGTGTGGATTCAAACCTCCGAAGGCGAGCTTTGGCGGGTAAGGCGCAGGCGATCTTTGGGGGACGACGCATGCGAGCTCAAGGCAAGCTCGAGATCCGGTGCAGGCGAGCTCGAGCTCTGATTTCAGGCGAGGTCATGCGAGCTCGTCAATGCAGCGCAGGCGAGGAGCTCTAGGCGAGGGCTTCTTCAGGCGAGGTTGGGGTGTTTTGCTAGTGAGCTTGAACGGGTTGCAATAGGCGAGCTCAATGCAAAGAAGGCGAGGTCGACGCAGCTACGGGCGAGGTCGACGCAGATCAGGCAAGCTCGAGTTGGTGTAGGTGAGCTCGACGAGTTTTGGGCGAGCTCTACGCCGCAAAGCGAGCCCCTTCCCAGCGACAGGCTGTCGCCCAGCCTGTCGCTAGGGTTTCCCTATAAAAGAGAACCCAGAGGCCTTGATCTGCTGTTTCTTCTTGTGTTCTTGCTCCAGAGGCGGCGGGTGTGTTCCTTTCTCTCTTTCTCTCTCTCTCTCTCTCTCTCTCTCTCTTTCTCTCTCTCTCTCTCTCTCGTTTCTTTTTGTCCCAGCGCTCAAACGAATTAAAGAAGGGGGAATTTATTGAGGGGAAATTAAAGAGAAAGAAATTAAAGAGGGGGCTCTCTTATCTCCAGCACTCAATTAAAGAGGGAAGATTTAAGAGAGATTCTTTCACAGATCTCAGTTTGAGGGGGAATTAAAGAAGAGAATTAACACTGTAGCTACAGTGTTGATTTGTATTTTTGAGAGATCTCAAGTTTGAGATCTGCTCTTGTATTATAATTTCTTGTTGATTAATAAAAAAATTGATTATATGGCTCCCAAGGACGTAGGCAGTTAGCGAACCTCGTTAAACTTGGTGTACTTTTCTCTATATTGTGTTTCTACTGTTTTAGGGGTTTCGGCATAAAAATCCCAGTAACTGGTATCAGAGCTTAGAAACGATCTAGAGGAAGTTAGATTCAAGTGGGAGCGATGGATGCAGATGAAGGAAAGGTGAGATTAGAGAAGTTTGATGGATCAGATTTCGGATTCTGGAAAATACAGATAGAGGATTATCTATATCAGAAAATTTTGTATCAACCCCTCTCGGGGAAGAAGCTGGATGGTATGAAGGAAGAAGATTGGAATATTCTAGACAGGAAGGCCCTCGGAGTTATTCGTTTGACGTTAACCCGCAATGTTGCTTTTAACATTGCAAAGGAAAAGACCACGGCGGGTCTTATGGTAGCACTCTCAAATATGTATGAGAAGCCATCAGCCTCAAATAAAGTCCATTTGATGAGGCGGTTGTTCAATCTACAAATGGCGGAAGGTGCATCGGTAGCACATCATCTTAATGAACTCAATACAGTCACGACCCAATTGAGTTCAGTTGATATTGAGTTTGATGAGAAAGTTCGAGCATTGATCCTTTTGTCTTCCCTACAGTTGGAATGCTACAGTCACAGCTGTGAGTAGCTCGTTAGGAAGAAGCAAGTTGAAGTTTGACGACATTCGTGATCTGGTTCTCAGTGAGGAGATCCGACGGAGAGAGTCAGGTGAAGCTACAACCTCATCATTTTCACTTTTCTCTAAACTAATCGAAGTCGAAGCCAAAAACTCATGAATATTTATCGAATATTAAAGTATATTTATTCTGCTAAAGAATTGATTTAATTTTCAAGTAGTATTAAAATTCATAAATAAAAATTATTCCTTTATACTATATGATGTGTATATATTTAAATCAAAATTTAATTAGAAAACAGATTTAAGATTATTTAAGTCTTAAAATCAGTATATAAAACTTAAGTAGAAATGGTAAGTGTTTAAAAATATGACATCATATATGCGATAACACAAATAATAACATGTGATCAATTTTAAATGAATATTTAATAGACAAACGACTCGAATATACATCTGGTCAAATTCTAATCGTTAGCAAACTCAAACACTAAAAACTATTTGTTTAGTGTTAAATGAACTACCAAATCGAATATGAATGAATATTTATTCGAACAATTATCGAACTATTTGTTAATTATTTGGTTCATTTCTACCCCTAGATGTGTTAGAAATTTCCATAATTTGGTGGACTACTTTTAAAATATTGAAGATTTGAGGGTCTAATATTAAAATAACCTTTAATTTTTTGTGGGGGCCACTCATTGGCAACGGGATAATCAGTCACTAATGTGCATTGGCGACTGGTTTGGCGACGGGCACTAACCAATGTGCATTGGCAAGGCGAATAAAGCCGTCGCCAAGGCTCATTGGCGACGGTGGGCACCCGTCACAAATACTTAATTGGCGACTGGTTAGGTGCTGCTGTGATGCGGGTCGTCGCCAATGTTTTCTCGTCACCCATGCATGACCATGGGCGACGGGAAAATATTGGTGACAACCAACACCCGTCGCTAATGCAAACATTGGCGACTGGGTATTGGCGACGAGAGTACTGTTCCCATCGCCAATGCTTGTATTGGCAACGGATTCGATATTCGTCGCCAATGTCCGTTGCCAATGACCTCTTTTTTACTAGTGTGTATTTTTCTATATTCGTACCACGCTTGTAACGAAATATTGCTAGTTGAAGTTTCTTGTAAAATCAACGCCCAAGCGGTCGAAGTAATTGGTGGCCACGCTAACGTCAGCCGCCACAAACTGAAATGAGGATACTATCCCAAACATTTGACAAGCGCGCGTGATTCGAACTAGACCAAGTCCATTGCCTTGATTCTACTCCTTAATTTCTGTTCATTATAGGGAAGGCCAAGGTGGGGGAATGGCCATTAATTGGTTCCTATTTTCTAGTAGTTCCAAGAGCAATTTTATAATGCACAATTTAGTCACGCACAGTCATCCTAAGTATATCCTACTGTTTTCTATTTCAAAGGAAAGAATGTCCAAGTTTTTCATCCTTGTGTCTTTGATTCTACTACGTACGGCTTGAGGTTTCCAAATTTCTCCATACTCTGCACGTGGATGTCTCAATAAACTGCATGCAAACAACTAGTTTTTTTGTACAGTTTATGATTATTATATACTATAACATGTATTTTTTAAGGTAATACTTGGGTTTAAAGATACAACTAATAATACTTGGGTTTAAAGATAAAGCTAGGTAAACAAATGGACCTAAAAACAAAAAGCCCATTTTTTAAATGTACATGTTTTTCATCCTTACAGTAATTTTAACACCATGCATGAATGAGCAAGCTTAATTGGGAAATATGTAACTTAAGCGTATTTCATAATTTATTGCTCCTCACGCAAGTTTTTGAGGGTGTTTTTTGACATTAGTCCCTTGACTGTTTCATATTTTTAAAATAAGTCCCTCAAATCACCAAAATTATAATTAGCTCCTCCCTACTCTTACATTGTTTAATAATTAGTCACAATTATTCCCTCCAATTGCTACTTCTATTCTTGATTGAAGGGAGAAGTGAGGAACCTAATAGAAGTTCCCATGATTTGAGGGACTTGTTTTGAATTAACTCCACAAATTGGAGGTCCTAATAGCAATTTTGACCATTTCAAGAACTAATTCAAAATATTGAATATATCAGGGTCTAGTATCTAAAACACCCAAATTTTTTTAATTTAACATTACATGATTGTTAATCGTCCGTACCAACTAATCAAGGCTTTACAACTTGTGCAGTCAAATTTCAAATCAAACTAGACCGGTTCGGGTTTGCTTCCTAATCAAAGTATGTAACTTGGTCCAACCCAATACCTGGTATTAACAAGTGTTTGAATTCATCAAAACATATGCAATTGAAAAGTAAGTATTGCAGTCATCCCAAGTCCTCGCTACCTGTAGTCTATAAATACCCTCAAAGATTACAGAAGAAAAACATAATCATTCTAGGACTCAGCTCCCACATCAAAACTTCAACAAAAGCAAGTTGCTCAAAAGAGGGGGGAAATCAAGAAAAGCACAAAGAATGGGCAGCATGAGCGGTGAACTCGTAAATCCTCCTCCTTCATCTGGGAAGCTGATCACAGTTCTAGGTATCGACGGTGGAGGTGTGAGAGGCATCATACCCGGAACTATCCTCGCCTTTCTTGAGTCAAAGCTTCAAGTACATCTCTTTCACATTACCATATTCAACATCTTAAATCATTTAATTTTTTCTTCCGATTATTGACTGACATGTCATGTTTAAATTTTGTAGGAGCTTGATGGACCGGATGCAAGACTTGCTGATTACTTCGATGTCATCGCAGGAACGAGCACTGGAGGTCTTGTGACCGCAATGCTCACTGCTCCAAACAAGGATAATCGCCCGCTCTTTGCAGCGAAGGAGATTAATCAGTTCTATCTGGAGAACTGTCCGAAGATATTTCCTCAGAAAAAGTGAGTTCATGTTGAAGAAAAAAATGCTGGCAGTCGCAAGTCCTGTGAAAACCATGAAGGGAAAATAATAATAATAATAATAATAATAATAATAATGCTGATGATGATGATGATAAAAATTATAATGAACAGCTTGTGCAGCGTACAGGAACTATTGGTGCTTACCAATATTTAATAACATGGTCATTATCAAGTAGTTATAGTTATTGAGAAACAGGTTATAGATGAAAACGGTTTCCTGCAATTTACCCAGAAAATGAATCAATTAATCCATTTATAGTTTATTTTCATAAAGCTTAAAGGGATATTTGTACTTCTTACAGCTGTGGGCTGCTAGATTCTGCGATGAGCTTTTTCAACGTCGTCAGAGGACCTAAATATGACGGAAAATTCCTTCATTCCAAAGTTAGGGAACTGCTTGGTGACATGCGGATACACCAAACTTTAACCAATGTAGTGATTCCCACATTCGACATCAAGTACCTTCAGCCCATGATATTCTCCACCTATGATGTACGTATTTATCGACAAGTATCCATATCTAAACTTTAGAAATTTTTTATATTTGCATTATTTATTTCTAACAAGCTTATCCTTTTAATACAAACTAATGAAGGCAAAATATGACGCGTTAAAGGATGCTTTCTTGTCAGACATCTGCATTAGTACTTCAGCGGCTCCAACCTATCTCCCTGGTCATGAGTTTGAAACCACAGACTCTGAAGGGAATACCAGGAGCTTTAATCTCGTCGATGGTGGTGTCGCAGCAAATAATCCGGTAATTAAAATATCACATGACACGGATTTAAAGCGGATTTTTAAAAATAATTTAGGCTATAGGCAAAGAAAAGAACAATTGATTAGGAAGCACATGTTAGGGTATAAAATCATGACTATGAGTTTAGAAATTTTTAAAGATTTACAATGCCATAGACCCTTGTTTCTTACGTATAGAGGTTTGTATGGGATACAGACTTTATCAGCGATGAACGTCGTCACAAGGGAGGTCTTCAAGCAGAATCCAGACTTCTTTCCTATCAAGCCGATGGACTTTGGCAAATTTCTCGTAATCTCTCTTGGTACAGGGTCAGCAAAAATAGAAGAGAAGTTCAGTGCTAAAGATTCCGCGAAATGGGGAGTTCTGGGCTGGTTATACAACAAGGGAAGCACTCCTTTGATCGACATATTCACTCAGGCAAGCGCCGACATGGTCGATATCCATGCATCCGTTGTCTTTCAAGCGCTCCATTCTCAAAAGAATTATCTTCGCATACAGGTAAAATTGCAATTGACGTGTAACTATCTAAATTTGCTTGCAAAAAATACTACCAAGTTCTTATATTGTTTAAGATATGATGTCACATTAGTAAGGTCGTGAATTTCAAATCATAAAATATAGACAATTACAATTGCAAATAAACAAACACTTAATTTGCAATGCATTTATATTTCCTGCAAGAAAACATACAAAACTAAACTATTTTTGTATCTAACGAAACATGATCTGGATCAGGAAATATATTTCTTAGAATTAAAATACAGACATTGAAACAAAACATTTGAGGTTAAGTTGGCAATAAATGTTGTATTTAGAATTTTTTGAATGCAACATTCATATTTAATTCCCTAATTACAATTTTCAATATGTCTTCGAGTGGAACTAACATATTTTTTTTTTGTAAAAAAATAGGACGATAAACTAATTGGGAGCACATCGTCCGTTGATGTATCTACGAAGGAGAATTTACTAAGCCTGGTTCAGATTGGCAAAGATTTACTCAAGAAGCCAGTGTCCAGAGTGAATTTAGAGACCGGACAGTATGAGCCAGTTGCCGGTGAAGGAACTAATGAAGAAGTGCTTACTCATTTTGCAAAGATGCTCTCCAAAGAAAGAAAGCAGAGGAATTCTAAAACATACATGTGATAAGTCATACTATGATTTGTCAGCACAAAAAAAAGTCATACTATGATTTGCTAGAATAAATTGTTTAGAAAAATAGATACAAGGTCAGACAACCTTATCCTTTATTGTACTGATTTATTAATTAAATGTATGAACAATGCATCTAAATAAACTGTTGTGGTGTGACTCAAATCCCAAAGTAATTCGATTTCTAGATCCTCAACCATGATTGCATGTGGCAGTCATTAGAATTTGAGTTGGTATAGTGTGAACGGGGAACAAGGGGGCCCGCGCGAGAAAGCCCTAGCCGGCGGAATTTTTTCCTGTTGAGTTTTCTGTTTGGATTTTTTGGGCTGGGTTTTTCCCCTATAAATAGGAGTCTTCTTCTAGGGTTTTTTAGAGGAGGAAATAGAGGGTTTTGACGGCTACAAAAGATAGAGTTTTTAAGATCTAAAAAGGTTAGATCTTGAGGAGAGAAAAAAAGAGAGATTGAAGAGATTTTTTACAAGAGAGAGGTCAATTTCTTTTGGGTAAAAATCATAGCTTCATCTTTGGGACAAGCTTGTGGGTTGTAAAAGTCGTCGGTGTTCTCCTTCATAATGGAATCTCCCCTCCCCCTTCCCCGTGAATGTAGGTAAGTTTGTCGAACCACGTAAATCTCGTGTCTTTACTATTTTTCTGGGTGTTGGCTATTGCTTGTAGGTTTCCTCGATAATTCAGTCCTAGAACTGATAAGAGGAAGAGTGTATATCTTACTTTGTTGAGATATTTCACTTCTGTTCTTGTTTCCTTCGCGAAACAGGAACATAGAGGTTGACTTGAGGTTTTGTGAAAACAAAAGTCAGGGTTTTCTCTCGGGTTATATCGCTTCTGTGGCGTGATGACGTGACTCTGCACCCAACATATAGACATCTTAATTAAGTCTTAATCCTAGTAGAATAAGGACTTTTGACCTAATTGGATTGGATTCCAATAGGCGTTTGTTAGAGTTCTCACAGTCCAAGTGTTGATATGATTGATTTTGTCATGAATTGGACTCACATTAGAATTCTATTCCTATACGGTTTCCTATTGGCCAACAACTTGGAAAAGCTCATATAAAAGAAGGCCCGATAGGTTCTATTAAGCATCATCATCAACTATAGCAACAAAGTTTCTTCAGAATCCCGTCGTCATGAATTATCTCTTCTTTTATTCCTTTTATTTAGAGAGATTGTACGGGAATCTTGAGGTGTTATTTGGGATTAAGTGATTGAGAGATCTCCACTTTGTATTCCTCACTATTTAGTAAATCTTTTCTCCTCCTTTGACTGTGGACGTAGGCTACAAGCCGAATCACGTATATCTTTGTGTTCATGTGTTCTTGATATTTTTCGTGCTATCGTATGATTGATATTAGCTTATCCTTGGGAGTTTGTCATAACAAATAAATATCACAACCCTTAGCTATCGATCATACGAGAAGATGACGACAACCACTACGAAGTGGGATATCGAGAAGTTTGATGGCAACATTAGTTTCAGCCTTAGGCATGTTAGGACGATCACCATGTTGACAAAGAGTAGATTGAAGAAGGCTTTGTTTGGGAAGTTAAAGAAACCGACTACTATGACGGAGGAATTGAAACGTGTTGGATGATAGAGCTCTCACAGCGAGCTAATTATGTTTGACAAATGAAGTTCTGTAAGAAGTTCTCACGGAGAAGATAGCTACTGATTTATGGTCTAAATTAGAGGATTTGTATTTGACGAAATCTCTCACTAATCCCAAAGTAATTCGATTTCTAAATCCTCAACCATGATTGCATGTGGCAGTCATTAGAATTTGAGTTGGTATAGTGTGAATGGGGAACAAGGGGGCCCGCGCGAGACAGCCCCGCGCGAGACAGCCCTAGGAGCGGAATTTTTTCCTGTTGAGTTTTCTGTTTGGATTTTTTGGGCTGGGTTTTTTCCCCTATAAATAGGAGTCTTCTTCTAAGGTTTTTTAGAGGAGGAAATAGAGGGTTTTGACGGCTAAATATAGACTTTTTTAGATCTAAAAAGGTGAGATCTTGAGGAGATAAAAAGAGAGAGCTTGGAGAGATTTTACAAGAGAGAAGTTAATTTCTTTTGGGTAAAAATCATAGCTTCATCTTTGGGACGAGCTTGTGGGTTGTACAAGTCATTGATGTTCTCCTTCATAGTGAAATCTCCCCTCCCCCTTTCCTGTGGACGTAGGCAAGTTTGCCGAACCACATAAATCTCGTGTCTTTACTGTTTTTCTGGGTGTTGGCTATTGATTGTAGGTTTCCTTAACAATTCAGTTCTAAAACTGATGAGAAGAAGAATGTATATCTTACTTTGTTGAGATATTTTACTTCTGTTCTTATTTCCTTCATGAAACAGGAACATAGAGGTTGGCTTGAACTTTTATGAAAACAAAAGTCAGGGCTTTCTCTCGGATTATATCGCTTTTGCGGCATGATGGCATGACTCTGTGCCCAACAATTGGTATTAGAGCTATTATTCAGATTGAGATTAGTGTAGCTTTTGGTTTGAGGTGGTGCTCGGTAATTTCCTAAGAGAAATGAATTTATTAATACAAGCGGAGGATGGTGCCAACTAGCAAAACAGTTAAAGTTAGAAAGTACGAGATTGAAAACTTCAATAAGAAGAATGATTTTTCCTATTGGAGGATGCAGATAAAAAACTTGTTGATTTCACAAAAATTATACAAGGCTTTGGCGAGAAAAGAGAAGAAGCATAAGAATATGTCTGAAGAGGATTGAGAGGAACTGGATCTGGAAGCACGAGCGTCGATTATCCTTTGCCTTGAAAGGGATGTAGCTTTCTTGGTAGATGGAGAGGAAACGACTGCGGACGTGTGATCGAAGTTAGAAAGCACCCTCATGATGAAGAGTTTAGCGAAACGGATCTATTTGAAATCCAAATTGTATACTTACAAGATGGAGGATGGCTCATCAATCCGAGAATACATCAACAAGTTTGATAGGATCATATTAGATTAAAAGGACATAGACGTGATAGTTAAAGACGAGGATCAAATACTTCTACTACTTCTATCTCTGCTGAAGTTTTATGAGAACCTGGTGTAAACACTGATACTTGTGGGAGATAATTTGACAATGCATGAGACTAGAACAGCGCTTCTAACGGATGATCTTCGGAAGATTACAACCAGTGACATGACTACTGGTGGTAGCAAAAAATAAGCACATGGACTGTTTGATAGCGGAAGGAGCAATGAGCGAGGAAAAGATAAGGGAGGAAAGTCTAGATCTAAATTAAGACCTTTTGTGGAAAGATCATGTTTCAAATTCGGTGAAGTTGGATATTTCAAGGTCGACTGTCTAAATAAGAAAGTAGGAGGAAAGAACAACACCAAGACTAAGAGGAGAGAAGGCAATGAAGAAGCAAGCTATGTTTCAGAGGAAGGGACCAAGAATGAATGTTTTGTCTTCATGGGTGGCGAGGATATCTCCGGGAAGTGGATTCTTAATTCATGTTGCTCTTACCATATGTGCCCAAATAAAAAGTGGTTTACTACCTACAGAAGCATTGATGGTGGAACTGTATTGATGGGGAACAACAATACTTGTAAAATGGTAGGGCTAGATAATATCAAGATCAAGATGTATGATGGAGTAGTCCGAACCTTGACGGATATGAGGCATATTCCTGGCTTGCGGAATAATCTTATCTCAGTTGGTGCATTGGACTCTGGTGATTGAAGGATTGTTATTGAAGAAGGTTGTTTGGGGTTCCCTTATAGTGATGAAGGGTGTTCGTCACGATAATTTATATACTCTCTCAGGTACGATGGTGACGGAAGATACAGCGGTTGGAACTAAAGGAAATGGTGGAGACCCATGTGAGCATACACGATTATGGCATAGGCGGCTTGGGTACATGTCAGAGAAGGGTCTAGTTCTGCTTGGTACGAAGGGTGTGCTGAAGAATCTGAAGAAATATTGCATGGATTTTTGTGAGAATTGTGTATACAGAAAGGCGCACATGGTCTAGTTTTTTTAGAAACAAGTCTAAGAACAGGGGGATACTAGATTATGTGCACACGGATGTTTGGGGTCTGGCTCAATCAACTTCCAAAGAGGGTTCCAGATATTTCGTCTCGTTCATAGATGATTATTCGATGTATGCTTGGATTTATTTTCTAAAGTATAAGAATGAGGTGTTCGAGACATTCAAGAAGTGGAAGGCAATGGTTGAGAACAGGACAAGGAAGAAATTGAAGACACTATGATCTAACAACAGTACAAAATACACAGATGGTTCCTTCAAGGAGTTCTGTGATCATGAGGGTATTGTTCGACACTGGACAGTCAGGTCAACACCACAACAGAACGGGGTCACGGAGAGACTGAACCGAACATTACGGGAGAAAGCAATGCGTATGCGATCTTATGCTGGATTTGGCAAGGAATGGTAGGCAGACGCGGTGGCTATAGCTTGTTATATTGTGAACCGTTCTCCACATTCTACATTGGATGGTGATACACCCTATAGGGTGTGGTTAGGGGAGCATGCAGATTATGAGAGGCTCTGGATTTTCGGGTGTACCGCCTATTATCATGTTAACGAGGGAAAGCTTGACGCGAGGGCCAAGAAGGCTATATTCTTGGGATATGCAAATGGTGTAAAAGGCTACCGTCTTTGGTGTAGATAAGATTCGAAGTTCATAATCAGCAGGGCTGTTACCTTTGATGAGAAATCCATGATTGCTAAGGCGCCCAAGGATGATGGTGTTGGGGCTATTGGGACTTTAAAGTCCCAAGTTATTAAGATAAAACCTAAAGACCAACCAGGTTCTAGTCATGTTCAAGTGGAAAATCAGGTAGATGATGAGCATGAGCAGGACAACAGCTCAAGGATAGTTTGGCTTCCACTAGGCCAAGGTGAGCATACAAGCGGGTACTGAAGCTGGGGGCTGATCAACCCCTGAAGCACTATGGGCAGGTTAATTTGGTAAAATACACACTCTCGGTGGAGGATGATGAGCCGGTCTCCTACAAGGATGTAA